TCACTCTCGGCTAACAGCCGGCAAGTCTGTTCCAGGACCAGGCGAACACGGGCGAGATCCGGGAGCTGGCCGAACAATTCCTTGCGAAGATCAAGAGGTTGGCACCAATGCAGACCCAGACTGACAATGCGGTGGTGGACCTGGAGTTGTTGCTCAGATCACAGGGGTTCAGTGAATCCCAGGGAATGGCTCTTCTTGATTCAGGTGCCTCTCACCCTTTCCGAGTGCCGAAGTCGCTAGAAGAAAGAACTTCTTCGAGAAGGGTTCAGGTACAGCTTGCGGACGGGAAGACCATCTCGTTGAGACAAAACAGCGGCGGCACGCTGCTTGCTGAAAATGAACAGGGTGGCACAATACTGCCGCTGGGAAGTTTAGTCAGCTCTCTGGGGTGTGAGCTCCAGTGGTCGAGAAAACGTGGGCTACAAGTCCGTCATCCACGTCATGGGCTCCTTCCCACGAAACTAGTGGGCAACACGCCCGTCCTCCGGGAAGCGGAGGCGTTGCAGCTTATCTCGGACCTTGAGGAGGTGGAACTCCAGAAGTTAAAGGCCCAGACCACTGAGGGAGTGATCAAGACGCTGATGACGGATGAGACTCCGACGACTTGGCTGGACCACTTGGAGGAGTTTGTGGCCACGGGTAAGCGCGCATGCCTCCGGCGGATGCTTATGGATGAGGAGGCCCCCATCAAGGCCGCAACGGAGGAAGAGATAGCAGTCCTGGTGGGAGTGGAGGAGAAGATCTTGCTGTCAGATGAGGCGGGTGCGTTCTACCTGAAGTCCCTTCCTTACAACCGGGCTACGCGCAAGCGACTGTTGAGGACGAGGTGGATTGTGCATTTGTTCAATGGAGATGAGCAAGGACCTGAGTTCACCTATGCGGAGTCCGAAGATGTTACGGTGGTCCGAATGGACGTCAGGACGTCCAAGGGCTTCGATCTCCGGATGTACGGACCCGCAGCTCGGGCTCTTCTATGGGCGGCGGCGCGTGGACAAATCGAGGGTGTCATCGGGGGCCCACCACGTGGCTCGGAGCATGGTTCGACGCTGTTCAAAAGATTGATGTTGACATGGTTGGTGGCCAATTCTGGCGCGGTCCAACAGGCTTTGTGTGCTCCCCACTTCACGATGGAGGCTCCAACCTGGCACCCGATTTGGACGAGTAGTGCCTGGCTGAGTTTCCGTGATGAACTACGATTCATGAAGTACCACTCCGTGGCCGTGCAAGGCAACATGTACTTCTTGGCTTCAAGTTTGGAGGTGTCTCAAGGAATGAACATCGAAGAGGCGGAAATCATCACGCTCAATTACAGCACCCCGGCTTCTTCGTGGCCCACGACTTTGAAAGCAGGCCTGGCCCAGTCAATGGTAAGTTGGCGCCGAAGTGACCTACGGCGACACGAAGCCACGCTCTGCAAGGTCGTGGGATCCCGGGACCTCAATGCCAAGGATTTGGCCTACTGGCAGAATCACATCAAGAACAACCACTTCCTTATGACAAAAGATGCCGCACGTGTGTGCGCGCCAGCGCGACGGGCCGGGCCCATCGACGGTGCCTTACTCCAAGCTCCTACACTTTGTCTTTGGACATATGCGGTCCTATGCGGACTCGGGGGGAATCTCCAGATGGCAAGGGGTACCGCTATCTCCTCGTCGGCGCCTACAGCCATCCCAAGCTTGAACTTCCACGTGATGTAAAACTCCCTCCGGTCGAGGAGGAGGACGATGTGGAGCCCGAGCTGGACCCTTTCGAGGAGGAGGATACAGCACCCCGCCCGGAGGACGCAGATGACGAGGAGCAGAAGGCAATGAACGAGCGCTACAAGGAGATCTACCGGGACATCGGTGACGACATCGAGCGCCAGACGCTGCATTTTGTGGTGCCAATGGCTACAAGGACATCGAAGGAGGTGCGGGCCAAGATCCAACAGATCTACTGGCAATCGCGCCAACATGGGCTCCCATTGGTCCGTATCCACTCGGACAGGGGACTCGAGCTCAAGGCCAAGGAGACCCGAACATGGATGGCAGATCGCGATATCCTGGCCACTACTGGTGAAAGCCAGCAGCCACAACAGAATGGACGGGCCGAGGCCTTGGTTCGGGATATCAAGCGCAGAGTGAAGGTCCTCTTGCGGGCAGCTCATTTGCCCATGTCGTGTTGGCCCTTAGCAGCTGAGTTTGCAGCCCGAAGACAGCGAGATCTGGCTTTGGGAAACTATGAGGACAATTAAGGACCTCCCCTTTGGTGCCCCCACTCACGTGAAGCACAAGCAGTTTGGTCAAGGTGGGCGGTATGATCTACTGGAGCGCTGGTGCGAGGGAGTCTTTGTGGGATACTCCAATGATGTGAAGAATGGAAGAGTAGTCCGCCACACAGATGGAACCTACACCACCTCGGTTCACATCAAACCTTATTTGTTCGACCCTGGTGATTTGGTCGAGTTCGGGCCCTATGAAACGGAACTACCAGTGCCTGAGCGGCGGGTTCGAGGAAAGGCCACTCTAGCACAACTGCTCCAGGAGCCTGACAACGAGATCGATAAGTTCGCCAAGGACCTCCTGGACCACCAGAAGTTCACTTTGGATGATGTGGTTGGGTTGTGGAATGTTTTGCGGACAAAGGCAAGGCCAACAACAAGGACTACCCAAGGTGAAGGTCTTCAATGGTTGGTGGGCCAGTACACTTATGGAAGCTTATGTGGAGTTGTGCGGGACACGGACCTCTACCCCGTGGCGACTGTGTACTTGGTGCAGGCCTTCAAGAAGTTGACGGGTCATGATGATTTCACCTCACTATTGATCACAGAAGATGTGGGGATGAGCTGCCATCGTGATGTACACAATCATGGCCAACGCAACAATGTACTTCTTCCTGTACTACAATGTGACAGCGGAGGTGGGGTTTGGGTTGAATCACAGCCTCGGGACTACGACTACGCCGATGAATGGAAGGAACTCCCTAGAGGTGGATGGCGCCGGGGGCGGATTCACGAGCTACAGAGAGGTGTTCCTATCGAGATCAACCCGAAGATGTACCACTCCACTGAGCCATGGACAGGGAGGCGGCTTGTTGTAACAGCCTATACCCCGAGGACTACAAAGATGACCAAATCGACCTACGACATCCTCTGCAACTACGGGTTCCAACCTCCTCCACTACCACCACAGGTTCCCGACGAACTCCAACGAGCCGTCTTGAAGATGATGACTATAGATGACCAGAGGGAACCCGACGCAGTGATGTTCCTTATCAATGAGGCTGAGGAGGAGAACCGCGAAAGGGCAAGAGATGTGAGTCGGGAACTATGCCAACTACAAGACGATGTTCTTGCCAAGCTGCGAGAGAGGCAGGAATGGTTGAAGGAGTTCCTGGCTGAGGAGGAGATCTTGGCCGAGGAGCTGCAGGTTGTCGGGGAAACGATCAACGAGGAGATCGAGGGCGTCAATGGTGCAGTCCGGGATTTACTTCAGGATGTGGAGGAGAAGATCAAGCTCACCGAGGAGAAGTGCCGCTCCCTCTATCTCAAGGTCGCCAATGTCACGGACGAGACTAACATTGATGATATTGAAGAGAAGAAGGATCTCGATGTGACATTGGATGTTCCGTTGGACCAAGTGAAGGCCAACCTGGACAAGTGGGTTGAGCCAATGAGCAAGGAGTTGTCCAACCTTGAGGAGAAAACGAACGCTATAGAGCGGAGGACAATCCAGGAGGCTCGCCAGATGGAGCGTGACGGTCTTTTGGCCCTCATACCTGGCAAGGTGGTATTCACAGTGAAGCCACCACCACCTCTTCCGGAAGCAGAGCAACGAGGATCAAGGACACCGCGGTGGAAACGCAAGGCGCGGATCGTCATCTGTGGCAACATGGCCACCCAGAAGCATGATCCAAATGACCTCTTCGCTGCCGGTGCGAGCGTTGAAGGACTTCGTCCGGGCTTGGCTTTGGCATCGGCAAGGCTATGGATAGCGGCGGCTACGGACGTGAGTGCGGCGTTTTTACAGGCTCTGTGGCCGGAAGGAAGACCAACCTACGGGGTACTCCCACCCAAGGTTTTAGTTCAATCAGGGCTGGTGTCGGCGAACGTCGTGTTCATTGTGAAGAGGGCTTTGTATGGGCTCAGAGAGAGCCCGGCCTTGTGGTCGGCTCATCGCACAAGTGTCCTGAAGAAGACCAAGGTGAGGTGTGGTGACGGTTTCATGTGGCTGAAGCAGCTTGCCACGGATGGCGAGCTGTGGATGGTGCTGTGGACTCCTGACGGTGGCATCCCACAGCTGGTGGGCTTGCTGGTCACCTACGTTGATGATCTTTTGTATTTGGCCAACAAGGATACGATTCTCCGACTACACGAGGTGATCGCTACTACATGGCCCGCTGGCTGTGGACTCGCGCCTCCGCGTGGTGTCAGCGGGCTCCACTTCGAGTGGAGTGCAGAAGCTTGTCCAGAAGATATCACAAAGATCCCAATGAAAAGCTAATTAAAAGTCCGATGCCCACTGGGGCGAATCAAAACATCAGAAAAGACCCTGAGGGGCAAAAAATCCAAAAAGACAGAAAAAGCATAATTAGTTTCAAGATCCAGCGCCAGGGACGGCTGCGTGGACCCAATAATGCAATCCTTCGGAGCATGATGCTCGTCCTCATGTTCCTTTGCACTCGTGCGCATGCGTATGAGTACACTTGTGAGACGTGCATTCATGCGTGTGAATACACATGTGTGACATGCACCGGCCCGTTCGGGGCCTCCTGTAGAGACAAGTCTTTCGACCGCGCGCCATGGCTTACCCTGGCCGCGAACGACACAGTGACCGAAGGCTTAGAGGATGACCACGGGCTCGATGGGACGAACCTGGGTCTGGTTTCTTCTGAGGAATCTGGTCGCTTGTTAGCAGTGCCTTTTGCTTTTGAGTTTGAGGGGCTTGCTGTTAAGAGGGCCTTGCGTCCTAACTTGTTAATGATGCAGAACCGGGTGGTTCACTCGGTAGGTATAACTTGGCTTGTTGGTATAGCTAAGCATGCCTTTGTTCCCAAGAAACAATCCGTTCCGAAACCTTTCTTGAACAACTTCTTACGACTTGCGGGCGCCTTAGCGGGGGCTGGGGAGTGTCTTTTCCTCCTCCTTAACTGCTGGCAGCTCCTGTTTTCGAGTTGCGTTGCTACGGTCCGGTGCTTACAGGCTAGGACTACGCAAGTCCGAACTTCACTTGCGAAACGTGCTGGCCTATGGTACCGAGTACCAGGGGCTGTGTTGCTATGGGCCAGTGCCACTTGGGACAAAACCTTCCACTTGTGGCGGTGGACCAGCTTAGGTCGCACGAGGCTCAGTAACACTGACGTGCAGGCCCCAGCTGGGGATGTGCCGGGCGATGCTGAAGCCTCAGTGTCTGGCGCTCGGTCCTCCAGGAAGAAAAGGTGCAGAAAGCGCCGACCCTGCCGTACAGTCGTAGACCAGGTTCTTGAAGACTTGTCCCACTGCTTCGTTCGACCAGCCCGCAGAGTTGGCCGGATGAGAGTCTCAGGAGTCAGAGGCGCCAAGGGGAGGGGAGGCAACTGGCGGCTTACGCCGTTGCGTAGCTGTACGCTGTACCAAGCCTGCCTCCGCGCCAGTGTCAAGCGTAGCTTGCTGTCTTTGCTTAAAGTTCCCAGCCGTACGAAGCCAGAGCCCACACAGTCTTTCGTTGAAGAGTCCTCCGTGGGTGTGGCGGGAGAGGTAGGAAGCCTTGCTGAGTCCTTTGAGTCTCCACACGTAGCGGAAAACTGGCAAGAGTACATGTCGGGAGTTGCTCAGCTAAGTAGTATGTTGGGTGGTGGCGGCGGCGGTTCTGCGGCCACACGTCGTAAGAGACAACAGCTACAAGGACAGGCTGGTGACAACTGGACTGAGTGGCCTGATGAGGCTGAAGATGAGGGTCAGGAGGCTTTGGCTTCCGCTCTGAATAGTTTCCTGACTACGTGGTGTAAGAAAACTTCTGCCAAACCTCAGAACTCATTAGCTCACCAGCTCAGAGATCTCCTGCAGCCTTTGATCCAACAGCGAGCTTCAGATGAACAGGTTGCGCAGAAGGTTAAGGCTCTGCTTGCAGAAAACCAGCGAGCTCGACGTCAGGGCTCTCCTGACGCGCGTAACCCCGAAACCAACACTCCGCGAGGCCCCGAACAACCTAACAAGACCGGTAGGAGGGTGGAGTTTGCTGCCCCTGCTAAGGAACCCCGCCCTGGACCCAAGCCTGCACACCCGAAGGCCCCAGGTGCGGAACCCCGTCGGGTGCAAGTGCAACCTGACGGCAAGGCTGGCTGGCCTACGCAGGCCACAGGACTTGGGAAGTCCATCACGGCGGTTGTGCCCTCAGAGTGGACAGAGCTGGTCAGGCTTACTACGCTGTCTGGTGTTCGTAAGGCACTCGCCACGGGTGGTGACATGCCAGGAAACCTGGTAGTAGTCTCTAGTGTCGAACAGTACCTTGAGCTCAGGGACCAGTTTGCAGCGGTGGCTTGCTATGCCCCGCTTTCCGTCATCATTGATGACGCTCGTCGGCGCCAGATGCCAGGCGTCTGTGAAGTCAAGGCAACGGTAAAGCGAGGCCCCGCCAGCCCCAAGCCCGAGACCCTGATGCTCGCTTGCATCCCCGATGGAGCGGGTGGTCCTAAAGTAAAGCCGGTGGTGCGCATGGACGTTGCTAAGTACCAACCCGCTGCCAAGGTTACAGTACGAGTTTCTGCCCCCTCACACTATCGACAACTCTTTCGCGATCGTTGGGACACGGCACAGACTGTACTTACTGAACTCGCTCAGTGGCAGGACGGGCCCGTTTCGGCTCTCCTCGGGGGCCAGTGGAACTGGGTCACCACCAAGGGCACACACCACTTGGTTGCTCACCTCAGGGTTCCCCCAAGTGTGGCTGATCAGCTCATCAGTAGGAGTGGCAGGAATGGTATTCTTGTCACCAAAGCTGGTGTTGCAGATAAGGCTCCTCCGCAGGCCATGCTCTGGATCAAACAAGAAGAAAACGAAGATGCTGAGTGCTACTTCCGTCGTGCTCTCGCTACAGCTAACACCAGGAATCAAAGCCTCAAGATTCGTGCTGGTGGAGGCAGTGATCTAGGAGTTTTGAGGCTTGATACGGATGGCGTTCCTAACACACCAATCGTCATCGAAGCTCAAACCCCTAGGCCCTGGGAGAGAGAAGACGTAGAGAGGTTCTTGTCTGACCAGGGCTGGCAAGAACTTACTGTGCTTAGCAGGAGAAAGCGGAACAAGTTTCATGTTCTGTGGACAGTGCGTGGGCTTCCTCCTGCGGAAGAGAAGCTTGGGCCGTGGCACTACGTAGATCAAAGCAAACCAGAACTGCAAGTCTACGCTACCAAGTCTGTGTTCAGGGGGGCTAAGGCCACTGAGGTTTTTGCGGTGTCTGCGCCTAGCAAGAGGTTCAAGCCTGAACAGAAGCCTGCTGTTCAACCGGGCAAGGGTGTTGAAGCAGAGGGAAATGCTCATGATGCTCGCAGTGTGATCAAGGAGACTCGCCCTGCTGCAGACGACGCTGAGCAATCGGAGAGGGATCGCAGCCCCAGACGTAAAGCTCCTGCAGCGTTAGCACAGAACCCTCAAGCTGAGGCTGAGGACGAGATCACGCAAGCCCTGCGCAGTGGCTGGGTTCGAGTGGATCAGAAGGGAGATGGCGATTGCGCTTTCCGCTGTGTTGCTGCGGCTAGACACTTCAACGCTACAAGGGAAGAGCTCTCTGAAGACATTAGCAGAAGGGAGGGGGGCCTCATTCGTGGACAGGCTGTAGGCCATATCCGTACTCATGAGGATACCTATCTCCCGTACTTCGCTAAAGATCGTGATCATGACCCGGCGGACCCAGACCCTAGCCAGCGCGGGATTGCTCAGACTTTTCATGAGTGGTTGCAGCAGATGGCCACTCCCAACTGTTGGGCTGATGGCCTTACTCTACAGGGCATCGCCTCCAAGCTGGGGTTTGCCTTGGTCATTTGGGTGAAAACGCCAGAAAAGACGTGGGAGCGGGTTTGCTTGGCTCAGTCTTTCGGCAGGGACCGTGGCTCAGGCCGCTTTGCTCAGATGGCTAAGGACCAACAGCCCATCGTGCTGCTACTGGAGGACTCACACTACACGTGGTTGCGGCCTGAGGCACCCGACACCAACGTGCCTCGCCAGTGGCTCCGAGAGTCAGTAGTCCCCGAGCGCCTCGCCTTAGCTGGTGGAGGCGACCAGGCGGAGGACTGTGCTTTCAGCTCGCCCGCTACGCCCTCAGTGCACAGCCTGGAGTCGGGCCCTGAAAGCCCTAAGCCTAGCGTCGCCACGGCCTCGGTGTACTCGCTACAGCACTCGCAGTCCGAAACTCACGTTGACCGTCCTAAGGACGCTCAGAACGCTCTGGCGTTAGGTGCTCTGCTGCAAGGCACTGGAGACCCGCCGGCTCGGAAGCGCCTTAAAACGAAGCAGCCTGGTTTCTTGTCTCTTTGTGAGCTCTATGGTGGTAGGGCTCACACTTGCAGTTCGTCCTGCAACACGCAGGCTGCAAGGGCCCCATCCGTCCTGACCCAAGGGGGATTGGAGCTTGAACTTGACCTTGAAACGCCGAATGGCCCAGAAAAGCCAACGTGGCCATGCCCTGAGTGTGGAGCGGTCTTGAAAGCAGTCTCTTCCTCGTCCCTCTCGGCTATGAAGAAACATCATCTTCGCAGCCGTCATCCGACGTTTGACGTCACTACTGTGGTCTTTAGGCAGAAAGGCTCAGTTTTCACACCGAGTGCTAGTTTGCCTCAGGCAGAACGGGATTGGGAATGTCCCCTTTGCTTCAAGGGGCTGCCGTGCCTTTCGGCACAGGACAAGAAAAGATCGATCAATGCTCACGTTGCTCAGGAGCACCCAAGTGAAACCCCCAAGACTTTGGACGCCAAACGCAGGCGGGGACAGAAACATCGTAAGGATGGGGTGAAAAAGGCCAATCACGCTAAGTTCGCTGCCGAACGTGAGGCTCATTTCGCTACGCACACCATCGTTGAAGTCTGGCCCGTTGAACGCAATGCACGGGGGATGAGAGGTAGCCACCACTACTGTTCGGTCTGCCTCACACAGCTCAGACTTAAAAAAGGTGCTGGTGGCCTAGGATGCAACGAGTGCGTCCACAGACTGCGCACCAATGCACACGCACAGCGCATGCGACGGTGTTGGTGGGCCCGCTTGAAGGCAAACGAACCTCAATATGCTGCCGCAGTTTGTAAAGCTGTAGGACGTTGCATGTTTGCCATGGATAAGGCTTGTTTTCTCCTTGAGCCACACACTGAGCGCTCCCTGCGCGCCAAGGAAGGGCTGAAGCC